AATTAGGCTAATAGTATTCAGGGCTGAGAAGTTGATGAATAAAGATAGGTAGGTTGTTGGACGTGAGTCTTATTTATCAAGAGAAGCCCACGAGGGGATTTGAATATCATTTGTGCCAGCATGAAAGGGAATCAAGATCAAGCTGGGTAAATGCTCTTAACAACTACTGAATCTGGAATGCATTAGGTTCGAACCTATGAACTCCGACAAGGGAGATGAGTGTGTGCACCCGGCGCCATAGCCGGTTGCATATACTTACCCGGCGCCACTGATGGGTGTATACACTTACTTGCGCCACAGTTGGGCGTATACACTCACCTGGCGCCACAGCTGGGCGCATACACTCACTTGGCACCACAGCCGGGTGCATATACTCACCCGGAGCCACAGTAAGACCCAAAATTAGGAACAAATACGATTTTCTTCTCCCACAGTCGCTGAAGCAGCAGGTACCAGCACTCAACACCGCCGGCGGGGAAGCCATGGACACGGCGAACGCTTCCTTGGATCCCTCGGCATCAGTCCTGAACGACTCCGCCAGGACCGCCCTAGGTCTTGCGGAGAATGGCGAGGCCGTGGACGAGTACTTGGAATACTCAGGTCGCAGCAAGGTCAACCTGACTTTACTGAAGTTGGACCTGGACCTGTCACCGGTGTTCCCGAGCCTAGAAGCAGTGTCTGCAGACGTACAGGTGTTCCTCATCTTTGTGTATTCCCTGGCTGCAGTGCTCAGCCTGGTCGGCAATGTCACCGTCATCCTCGTGCTGGCCTTCGGTAGGAGGTGAGTAATGGGAAAGACAACAGAAAGATCCCTTCCCCAGGTCTTTACCAGAAATCCACCCATTAGTAAAACTTATGGGATAGAGGAGACGTTAGATTAGGTAAGGTTTGTCAGGAAATAGGACAAGTGTTAGTCATATGATGACCCCCCGTACGAGCTTTTGGTCATCTGACCGAGGCCTTCAGATGGCTTACTGGTCCACCCCTTTAAAAATTATAGTCATGATTATAATCAATTTTAGGGGAGAGGAAATGACAGAGGAGAGAGAAAGGGACTGATAAGTCTAGGAGGAGGGAGACAGAGAGAGGGAGATTGGGATTTATGAAACAGAATGAGACTGCACGAACCCCTGGAGGCTCGATCCTCCGTAAGGGATTTGACCCTCTGACCTCCCAGACGAGACTGGAGACTGTGCTACCGACACAGCCATAACGATGGGTACAAACTGCAAGATAAATGACGAAAAAAAAAAACCCGCAGTTTTTTCTGCAGCCTCGATGCAAAAATTAATATGAACACACTCACACTCTTCCAGTTTATTCGTGTTTGACTAACTATTAACTCTATGATATTGTTACTGTGCCTATAAATAAAATAAAAACTATCAAATAAAGGATATAAATGTAGCATACAAATATAGTTACTGTATGCCAGTAAATACTATATCCAACAAGGGTCAGTTAACGTTATCATACACACAACAATACCACCATAGAGAGGTTTATCTCTCTCTCTGTATATATACATAGAATTTAATTCTTGTTGAAGTATTGTAAAGATTAAGGGCCATGACTGGTAGTGTACGGGTTAAATACAACCTTGAATGACCCTCGTGTGGTCGATAAGTTTTAGACCCCATTAACCAATCATAAGAAGAACAAGTAATAAAACTTGAAAAGGGAGCTTACAATCAGCCATATTAATGTCCTGACCAAACTTCATGCATGTGAAGAGGAAACGAAGTTGAAAAAACTCTTTAACAAACACGAAGTTTATGTTAGACCGGTCAATAGCAGAGCTGGTTCACTCGTGGAAGCCATTCAGCGAGACGAGTAGCGGAGGCTCGATCCCCCGTCCGATAATTGTGGTTCTCCTTCTGACTAGTAAGGCTGCTCCAGGGCAACCCACAACTCCATCTTAACATCAATGTGATCTTTAAATATGAAAATAATTTAAAATAGCGAGTTGTAGATTCAAACTACATCGCAGAAATTAGATTTCAGTTTGTTTGAATAGTTGTTAGCACGTCTAATGACGTCGGCTTAGTGACGCTCCTACCACCAGTCGCTCCTTTACACAGACACAGAGAAACTCTACCCCAGTACAGCCTTGTTCTAAAATGTTTAAATGCTTAAGTGAAGAATATTCCTTTCTGAATTTTTAACTCCCTTTATCCGCTGCATCTTCTGAGTGTCTGAAAGTATTGAGGTTGACTGGTAACCCTCGTATTGCTGATCATTTTAAAGAACACATTAATAAAAGGAACTCGCACAAAACACAATAGATAAACTGTTTATATAAACTGCTTATACTGTTATATTAGTATTAGACATCAGTAGCCACTGTAGAATAAAGCATTCATGAAGAAACAGTTATATATAACTCTAAAATTAGATCCCATTTTTGGTCTGGCAGGTCATCAGTGAGATGTTACCTTATCAACCTGGCTGTGTCAGACATCACAATGGCAACTTTCTGCATCCCTTTCTCCTATACCAGGTACAGTAATCGACTTGACTTTTCTAATTAGCCTTAAGAAACCTGCTCTCAGGCCAGGAAACGAGGGTGACAATCCCTGGAAACAAGGCAGAGGTACCAGTTTCTAGTGGTAGGTCCAAAATATTTCTTCCATGCCAACGTATAAACTATACCCAATTTTAATTACGAGTATTTTAGAAATGCAGCATTTAATGGCATTTTTTAAACAAGATTCCCATTCTGAGCATTTCATAATATATATGTAACAATACATTGATGGTATGGGTAATATACACGAATAACTCACATACAGTAACAGATAAAGAAAAAATTAGCAGGTGCCTGATGAGAGTTTTAGGCAGATTGAAAATATATGTTTTTTTTTTCTGTGTTCTGTGCTATTGATTGTGAGTTATTCATATGTATTATATATACATACACACACACACACACAATATATATATATATATATTATATATATATATATATATATATATATATATATATATATATATATATATATATATATATATATATATATATAGGGAGGTATCACCTCTATAGCTGGACTGGGGACCCTCATCCTCAGAGAAGACAATAAACGTACCTTAGGGAATACTCAAGGTTCTCCCCGGAGCTGTTTGAATATTTTCTTCTCCTACCACCCTCTATATATTTTATATTTTATGTGAACATTTATTGATAAACAGAATACATGTGCAGAAAAACACAACATGAATACAACGGTACAATGTATTAAATATCATGAATTTCCTCCAGCTCCTCCGAGGCTGGACGCGAGCCAAGTATGCAGCAAGCATTTCCCCTCTGAATGGCTATGCTGAGGCGCTGGAACATGAAAGTGGCTGCCCTTGGGTCCCTGGTGGTGTCGATGAGTTTGGATCCTCTTTAAGGAAACGTGTGACATTTTTTCCCCATGATCCCAAGGTCTCTGATCCCACTGGAACAAATTGATACTGTTGGCTTATGTCCCTGTACTTGCTGATCTTGTACTCCTCCCTGTGGTCAGCAGCTCCTTCCTGTCGCCCAACACTGTGATGGATGTAGGTGTCAGCCAGTGTGGACACACAGGTATAGTCCCATGCTAAGAGCTTGCCATTCTTCCAAGGATAGATAGTGATCCCTCCGGGGCGGTTTGCTGGGTTGTGGGTATTGTTGGCTGCTAGTGATCGGGGCTCCCTCTCGGCTGGGCATCCAGCTGTAGCAAGGGTTCTCTTTATGATGTCGTTGACCTCATTGTGTCTTGCATGCCAGACCTTGGTTTTGGAACAGTTAAGACCATGTAGACCGTATTGGTCTGCTTGCGCATTACCGCAAATACACACATATTCTGTGTGAATTGGGGCAGCAAGGCGCAGAGCCACTGCAATACGGAGGGTCTTAGGGTCGAGTCGCGTTATCATTGCCGATATGGGAACTGTTTGGAGAAAGTCCCCGGAGTGATGTGTGCTCACAGGCTTGAGACGGGCAGTCTCCCTATCTGATGTTGCAGCCCTGAGCATGTTGGCAAGCACCTTTTCAGCGATCGGGCCATCACAGCTTGACTGTGAGCCAGTGCTGCACTAGGGTTCGGTGCTGGAGCAGCAAGAGTCTCCCATTCAGTGATGGCACTGGCATAGCTAGGGTCCTGTATTCCTGCTGAGTCACTGAGGTTATCAGGAAGATTGTCTTATCAACTCGTTTGATGCTATAGAAGAGGATAGGAAAGCTGGTAGAGCAGTCTGGGAGGATCTGCGTACTCCTAGCCCCCCAAGCCTGACCGGAAATGAAGCTTGCAACCACTATCTATCTTCAAGGGAAAGATTCAATACACTCTCTAGCATGGTCTTTAGGAGAGAGTCCTATTCCTTGAGTTTTGGACTGCTGAAGGCTGGGGAGCATCTCAGAAAGTAGATAAGTTTTGGGATTGACAGGCACCTGGTGAGTAGGTAGAAGGCATCATGTGTATCAATGTCTTTCATCCTGCTTTCCATCGTTCGGAGGTCTGAGACTTTTTTTTCTAGGATCAGATCGATGGCATTGGACCCAAAAGGAGCACCAAGGAGAGTGCTATTGGCTGGATCAATGGCTGGTGCTCCTGGTATAACGGCGCTAATTTTCTGGATCATCCGTTGATTGGTAGAAACTATTTCACATTTGGTGGGGTTTAAAGAAAGGCCCAGGCTTTCTCCCATGTCTTTAGTTTTACTGATGTCCTCCAGGAGAGATTCTATTGTGCCAGCTAGGGTACCGTCGTCCAGGAACCAGATATTGAGCTCGCTGGAGAGTGCTTCTGTGACTTCCTTGATGACTAAACAGAATAGAAAGGGGGCGAGAGGGTCCCCCTGTTGCACGCCCTCACATGAGTCAATTTCATGGTCCCCAAACAATAGTTTGGAAGTCATACTATAACACGATTCTATGAAGGGATAAAGGGAAGGGAAGTTATATATATATATATATATATATATATATATATATATATATATATATATATATATATATATATATATTATATATATATATATATATATAAATATAATATATATTATTGTGACCACGAACGAGTGGTATTGATCAATAACAACACTGCACTAGTCAAGGACTCGAACCCCTGCTGCTTTGGCCTGCCTCATGGTGGGCGAAAACACATGACGCCCTTATCCACTGGACCATACGATCCTTAAGAGTTCCGCTGGATGCCCTACTCTTAAGGATCCTATGGTTCAGTGGATATGGGCGTCATGTGTTTTCGCCCACCATGAGGCAGGCCAAAGCAGCATGGGTTCGAGTCCTTGGCTAGTGCAGTGTTGTTATTGATATAAAATATATATATATATATTATATATAAAATATATATATATATATATATATATATATTATTGTAACCACGAACGAGTGGTATTGATCAATAGCAACACTGCGCTAGCCAAGGATTCGAACCCATGTTGTACTGGCCTGCCTCATGGTAAGCGAGAACCACATGACGCTTTAAACCACAGGACCACCCAACCCTACAAGAATGGCGCAGCCAGCACACAGCTAGCTGTTGGGCCGCCATCCGAGGGCATACGGAGGTGTGGGAGCCTCTAAGCTATGGGTGAGAATGAAATTAGCTTAGAAGCTCCCATACCTCCGTATGCCCTCGGATGGCGGCCCAACAGCTAGCTGTGTGCTGGCTGCGCCATTCTTGTAGGGTTGGGTGGTCCTGTGGTTTAAAGCGTCATGTGGTTCTCGCTTACCATGAGGCAGGCCAGTACAACATGAGTTCGAATCCTTGGCTAGTGCAGTGTTGATATATATATATATATATATATATATAATATATATAATATTAATTATGCAGTAATCGCAAACAAGCGATACAAAATGCAAAACAACTACCGGGAGAGTTGAATGATAGCTCTAGGCCTATCGTGCTGTAATCAACACCTCACCAGAAGCTTGCAATGTTTTGAGACTCTATGACCGCGGGTTCAATCCCGGCCGGGGGTATGGTTTAATCAGAGAAAACACTTCTTCTGAATGTATTTGTTTGGAGTTCCTCCATTTTCTGCAACGATGGCAGCTCCTGATGTGTTGATTGCAACACGAAAGCCTAGAGTTATGATTCAGCTACACCCGTGGTTTTGCATGTATATATATGTCATGCAGAATGGGAAAACTTGCGATTTTGGCTTAAATAGCAACTCTCTTCTTGCCATATAAGACAAGCGAAAATTTGTGTATGCAGTAATTTCGCAAAAATCATTCTGAACCTAACGATAAAATATATTTCATTGAGTTGTTTATTATTAAATGAGTGTAAACGTATCTAAAATATATTTAGCTGGATTAGGGTAAATTAAATTGCGCTTGTTATAATAAGATTAGGTAAGTTTTCTCAGGTTCTTTTGGTACAAAATTACTAATTTTTACATTAACATAAATGAAGAAAATATATATCTTTAAACGTATAAGAGAAAATTTTAGAAATGACTTAATTTTAAATGAGTTGTTGCTATCTGACCAGTTTTACCTATATGGAGGTGTGGACGCCTCTGAGCTAATTTCATTCTACTTCCCGTTTGGTGTACTAGCCTCCACAAGCAGTATTTATATTATTGTAACCACGAACGAGTGGTATTTAATCAATAACAACACTGCGACTAGCCAAGGGCTCTAACCCATGTCATTTTGGCCCGCCTCATGGGCCATATCTTCTATGACTTTCCGATAATATTTCTATGATCCTAATTTTCTATTCCGAATATCCTTTTACCCCACTATCTATACTATCACTTAATTTCGTGTACCTGTCCATTTATGATACATTGACAGCTAAACGGGTTATATATTATGCAACCATTCAATACAGACATAGCTTATATGAGCGTGGTTAATAGACACTGGTCGAGCGTCACCAAAAAACTACTAATTAGCAATCCTGTGATTTTTGTGCAGCATTTAAGGTTGTGTATAACAGGGGTTTTAGAATGTTCCCAGGGGTAGTCAGAAGTATCTCTTCATATATTCGTAAAATATTGTTTACCGGTCTTCTCAATATCTATTAATATGCCTTATTTGGGAATCGTCTATGCCTTTCCGATAATATTTCTATGAACAAATTTTCTCCTCAAATATCCTTTAACCCCACTATCTATGCTACCACTTAATTTTGTGTACCTGTCCACGTATGGTACAGTAACAGCTAAATGGGTTATATGGTATACCATCATTCTCGACATACGTAGCATGAGTTTAGTGCACAGACACTGGTCAAGCACCACCATTCCATCATGAAGCAATCCTGTGATTTTGTGCACTATTGTTGTGTAAGATTGTGTACAACAGACTCAATAGCTATCGAGCTTGTATAACCCATAATTTGAGTTATATACGGCGTTCCTGTTATGTTTCAAGATAGAAGATTCAATTATGTTTCTATAACTGAACTTTTGGGTACAATAATCTGGGCATCAGCCCACCCTGGTGGGTGACTGCAGGAACTGACGTGGTTGAAGATAGTGTTCGACTCCTGC